TCAGAGACCGAGTGACTTCTCCAGGGTCACACAAGAGTGTATCACAAAGTCTATGCAAGGGCCTTGAAGCCGGTGGGGAACCTCCCGTGGTTCGCGTTGGAACAGCAGGCAGCTTTGGCGGATTCGCAACACTGCCGTCTCACAGCAAAGCCAAGGACTGCCACCTAGCGGTAGATTGTGGCCACGCAAGGGCAGCGTAGTGAAGAAGACTGGGTACTGCGGCATCCGGGGAGCCAATACGCTATCAGTTTGCTCAGCAAACTCCTTTTTTCCATAGGGTCTTTCTAACTGTCGATCAATCGCTTGCCCCGTTTTTATTGGTTTAGCTTCCATCATTCTCCTCAATATACTAATCACGCGCCCCTTTCCACGAGTAATTTTACGTCATTGGATCTTCCCCTAAGTCTGACGAATTTAGTCAGTTCTTCCATTCTATTGGCTGGGCGTGGCTTCTCCTCCCCACATCCTGTTCGGGGCGGAAGTGAGAGGCCCTTATTTCTATTGGCTTCGATTTGCAAGCGGGCGTTGTCTATCAAGTCTATCAGATAAGGTTGGCTCTCCGAAAGTACCGCCCCGGAACAGGCGGGGCTTGTGAAGATGGCGGCGCCTGGGAATCTTGTGAGTTTGCTTCGTTGTGTAGGCATTTCCTTACTTCAGCGGCTCTGGGCAAATAATTGGCGCGAGGGAAAGGAGGTGACGAAAGTAGCTTCAGAGAAGCAACTTCCCTGATACAGCAGGATAAAAGCAGCAGTAGGGTGAGGGGGCTGAAGTTACCGCTTCTCCTAGAAACCTGGAGGGCTGGCCGACTGTGAAACGAGTCTGCGAAAAGTCGGGAATGTGGGGTGTCTGAAGGAGAAGAGGGTTTTCCTCCCCATACGTCCAGTCTTCTAATAATCCTGAGGAAATAAGTGCTTTTCTTTAATTCTCTCTCCCTCTCATAGGCGGTGCTGGAGTCAGACCTGCAAAGTGCCGTGACACTTTTGAAAAACCTTCAGGATCAGGTGAGTCATGTCACCCCCTTGGGGATGGGTCACTGACGGATTGGCTTTCGTTTTGTGTGCTTCACCTCCAAACTTTGGTCGTTTGAGGGACATATATTTGAATGATACCAAATTCCTTAAGAGCCAAGTGACTTAATGAAAAAACCTTTTCGGGCTAGAATTCAAAGTAATTTATTTCTGCATCTAAAGCAATACAGAAAACTCCAAAAAGAAGTTATCTGAATGTATTTCCTTTATTCTCATAGTTAAAGAAACCAATGCTGGGAAAGGTGATAGGATTTGCCCTTTGGGTAGCCAGCTGTATTGGTTGATTCAGCCAGTACAGATAAGGTACAGTCTCCCCACATCACCACTGACCCAGTTCCCATCCCCTCCCCATGGTTTGATAAGATGATTTCTTTAGCTTTAAGAAGTGGAAATTTTTTTGTACTTTATGAAAAAGTATCAGAAACCATCTTTCCTATACTGTCTGAGAAGAAAGGTAGTAACAATATTTTAGGCTTTGTTTCAGGTGATTTGTTTAGTTTTTGCCCTTCCATGCTCAGAGATGACTAGGTGTATTCTCATCAGCGGTTTTATTTGGACTAATTTCAGGTGATGGCTGTAACTGCACAAGTACAAGCTCTGACAAAAAAAGTTCAAGCTAGAGCCTATCCTACAGAGAAGGTAAGACGTATTTGAAGAGTCAGCATTCCCTGACTTCTTCTCAACAGCTGTTTCATCATAAATTTATTGTGTTGTATTGGAACTTCAAAGATGAATAAGATCCAGTTTCTGTGGTGAAGTCTAGGAGAGGAGACAGATCAAAACAATAGGTATAAGCAACAGCAGAATTGCTGATGAGTCATAATGAGTACTGTGCAAGCCCAGGAGAGAGATTAAATAATTGCCAGAGGAACAGAGGAAGTCAGGGAAGGCTTCTCACAGGTGGTAACAGGATTGTGCGGAATAAATAGGACTCCAGGGAACAGAAAGAAACAGCATGTACAAAGGGACAGAGTCCTGAAAGCATGGCGATATACTGGGAAAGGAGGTCATTTAGTGTGGTTGGATGTACAGTGTGGGGGTGGAAGGTGAGGAGTAGGAAGTAAGACTAGGAAAGTAGTCACTCTGTGAAGAGCCTTGTAGGCCAACTGAGGAGTTACTATTGTATTTCATCCAATCTAATGCTGTTAATTTGGGACCTGCCACTTACTTTGTATACAAAAAAAAATTCGGCCTGTTAACATATGACATAACATTAAGGTACCATTGATTAAAAGATACATCCTGACTTTAGAGATGTGAAAATATGAAAACGATATGCATGTTAAAATTGAAATACGGTGGTTTTTAATTTAAGGTCTTGTAGAACCTTCTTAGGGATCATTGAATATGGAGCAGTATAGAAGGAGGGCTTTGGATCCTTCTTGAAGGACCCTTGAAGTGGAAAACTCTTGTTTTATATGTGGAGTTTTTGTTCTAAGATATTACTTAATATACTCCATAGGTCAACAAAAGTATGAAAATCATTGTGGTAACTTAATAAGAGTCACTGAAAGATTTTTAAATATGGGATTTACAGAAGATTTATGCTTTAGAAAGATAGCTAATAGAATTTTTTTTTTAATGGTTTTATTTTGGGAGGCACCTGGCTGGCTCCATTGGTAGAGTATGTGACTCATGATCTTAGGGTCATGAGTTCGAGCCTCACGATGGGTGTGGAGCCTACTTAAAAAAAAAAAAAAAAGATTTTATTTTTTAAGTAATCTCTACACCCAGTGTGGGGCTCAAACTTCCAACCTAGGGATCAAGAGTTACGTGCTTCACTGACTGAGCCAGCCAACGCGCCCCTAGAGCTAATAGAGTTTCTAATATGTTCTCTTTGCCTTTTCTATCTCATTATTCAGTTTTGTTCTCACTTATTTTTATTTTTATCTTTGTGTTTTCTTCTTTTTGATTTTTTTCTCATATGCTTATAACTCTATTTGAACTTGACAGAGTCCAAGCTAGTCAGGAAGAACCTACTTCTCAAATTCTTGGCTGGTTCTGGGCTGCCGGCATATATGTTAGATCACTATATATTTGTTTATTCATTGAACAGAATTTAGTAACTTATCTTTCAGGACCGAAAATTACTAAGTGCTTTACAGACTATAGAGTTCTTTCATATTATCTTTTTTAAGCTCGTAATTACTCTTTGGGGCAGAAAGGAAACATATGTTTCCTTTATATATGTTTTCCTGTATATGCTATAGATGAGGAGACTGGGGTCATGAGATTGAGTTACCCATTATTTGACTACCAAATGCCTAATTCAGAGGTTAAACTCAGTTTGTCTTTAAATTCTTTGCGCCTCCACCTGTTACCACACTAGTGCTGATCTCCAGCAGCTTCCCATGATTGTTTGAAAATACCCAGGGCTTTGGTGTTGGAGTCAGACTGAGTTTGAATCCCATACTCCTCTAATACATGTGTAATTTTAGGCAGAGTATTTAACCTGTCTGAAATAAAATAGGTCTTCCAAGGGCTGTTGACTTTTTCAGTTTCATTTTAAGTAGTCACAAAGACTTTTTTTTTTTTAATGTTTATTTATTTTTGAAAGAGAGAGAGAGCACAAGCAGGGAGGGGCAGAGAGTAAGGGAGACACAGAATCTGAAGCAGGCTGTAGGCTCCAGATACCAGCACAGAGCCCAACGTGGGGCTCAAACCCACAAACCATGAGATCATGACCTGAGTTGAAGTTGGATGCTTTACCAACTGAGCCACCCAGGCACCCCAACTTCTTTAACAACTGTAACTTAAGTGCCCTCCTGTGTTACTCATATGATATTTGCTTGATTATCTGACTGTAAATGTAATGTGATTTTAATTTTAGAAAGTTTGGAAGATGCATAGAAGCATAAAGAAGAAAATTTAAAACCAATATAATCACCATTCTGAGATAACCACTGGGGTATATTTTTGGGAAATTTATTTTATTGTAAAAGTAATGTATGCCTGATGAAAAATACTTTCACAATACAAATGCTCCATTTCTTCCTTTTCCTCATTTTGATCCCCATGGAGAGCAGTTGTTACTAGTGTGTTATCTTCCAGAGATTTTTCTCTGTGTATAAAATGTGTGCGTCAGGGGCACCTGAGTGTCTCGGTCAGTTAAGCGTCTGACTTCAGCTCAGGTCACGATCTCATGGTTTGTGAGTTCCAGCCCTGCGTCTGATTCTGTGCTGACAGCTCAGAGCCTGGAGCCTGCTTCAGATTCGGTGTCTCCCTCTCTGTTCCTCCCCTGCTCGCACTCTCTCTCTCAAAAATAAATAAAGATTAAAAAAAAATTGAAATAGGCTGATGGGGGGTGGGAGGGAGAGGAGAGTGGGTGATGGGTATTGAGGAGGGCACCTTTTGGGATGAGCACTGGGTGTTGTATGGAAACCAATTTGACAATAAATTTCATAAATAAACAGATGAGACCCCTTAAAAAAATAAAATAAATAAAAATTTAAAAAAATTGAAATAAATAAAATGTGTGCATCATACTGTCCCTGCCTTAACTGAAACCATATTGTAGTGTAGAAAGTGCTGACATAGAATTAAGTCCATGTCAGTATGTATAGATCATTGTTTTTAACTGTATCACATAATTGTATGGGGATAAAAACCAATAATTGTTTTGATTAAAGATTGAACATCATATGGTGACAAAATTTGTCAAAATTTGGAACGGCCTTAAAGGTAGAAGCCAAGGATACTGTTTTCCACACAGACTCCACAATAAAGAATTGCCCATTCCCATATGTTAATGGCCCTGAGATTGAGAAACCCTACCATAGTAGTTTTGGGGACATTTTATTGATTTTTGTGCTCTTACTGTCTTGCAGTAATTCTCAGAGCTTTGCTTCTCTCATAATTTTCTTAGTGGCCATTTTAGGTACAGTCACGTCCTTGAGACTACTCCAGATACCTTGTATAAACTGATGAGGGGAAAACTGAACTTGGAAAAAATTACCCTGTTTACCCTAGGCTCTCCTCCTGTTTCTTTGGCTAAAACTGAATTGGCATCTCTTACTCTTTTGTTCTCAGGGTCTCAGCCTCTTGGAAGTGAAGGACCAGCTACTGCTCATGTACCTTATGGATTTAACCCATCTCATCCTGGACAAAGCCTCAGGAGGGTCTCTTCAGGGACATGCTGCAGTTCTGAGACTGGTAGAGATCCGCACGGTATGAAGCATTTCGCATCTTAGCATTCTGGGTTTCCACAGCCTGAACCCTAGGACTGTCACAATAGCTCTCATTTAAGTGGGTGTTCTCATGATTAAGTGAGGAAACCAAATGAAAAAAGTATTTTTTTTTTCACTTGCTCTACTTTGTTTATATTTTAGATGCTTTATCTGGCAAGTTAATATAGAGGCTTTGACATGTTTAATTTGGGGAAGGGAACGTAACCCTATTTAACCACATTATAGGTTTTGGAAAAGCTTCGTCCCTTGGACCAAAAACTGAAGTATCAGATTGACAAGCTAGTCAAGACTGCAGTGACAGGCAGCCTCAGTAAGTGGCAGAAGCTGTAAGATTATGTGGAGACTATCATAAATTTCCAAATCTTGTAAAATCCCTTGTTTGTGCCCCCTCCCCCCCCCCCCCCCCCCCCCCCAGGTGAGAATGACCCTCTCCGTTTTAAGCCTCATCCCAGCAATATGATGAACAAGGTAAGGGATTGCATTCACCTGATTTTCCTGAGGGCTCAAAGCCTGAATGAGCCTCATGGTGATCCTGGATCTCCTGGGATTCTCTTATTACTGTTGACTCCTGTCTTGTGCCTTAGAATGTAGAGTATGAGATTTTCCTTTCTCCCTTTTGTTTATATTCCCAACTCCCCAGGGTACTCTAGCTTTGGTTTTACTTAGTGTCTAACACTTGCTGAGTTTATGGATTTTGCATTCCTTTTGTAGTTGAGCTCTGAGGACGAGGAGGAAGATGAAGCAGAAGGCCAGTCTGAAGCTTCAGGAAAGAAATCTGTAAAAGGAACAGTTAAGAAATACGTTCCACCACGCTTGGTTCCAGTACATTATGGTATGAACTGTGTCTACTGCCTCCTCGGCATAAATTGTGTCTCTTTTATCTTTTTCTCTGTTCTGGGATAACCCTCGCTGATTTTTTATCATATAGATGAAACAGAAGCTGAGAGGGAAAAGAAACGCCTAGAACGGGCCAGAAAACGGGCATTGAGCAGCTCTGTCATTCGTGAACTTAAGGAGCAGTACTCAGATGCTCCAGAGGAAATCCGTGATGCTCGGCATCCTCATGTCACCCGTCAGAGTCAGGAGGATCAACACAGGTCTGAATCCTTGCAATTGGAAATTGTTTTCTACCCCATGGAGACCTGTCCTTATGCTTTGGATGGATATGATTAAGTCTGGTACCAAGAGAATTCACATTATAGAGAAAGTAGAGTGGAAAATGGGCTGATAGTTTCTAAGAATTAGGGTTGGTAAGTACAGAATAGGAGCTCGGGAAAGAATATCTTCCCAAGTGTTTAGGCTGAGCAGATGCTATACGAAGAGGAATATGTGCAGTTCTGCCTAGTGGGACTTTAAAAATTCCGTATTTCACTGTCACAACTCTCACTTCTGTGCAGAAGCGAATAAAGTCAAGTTTTTATAGTGGCATCAAGAATGCTAGACAGGTTCAGGAAAGAAAAGCAGGAAAGTGACTGTAACGTGAATACAGACTCATCAACTTTGCCTGGGCGGCAGTCTCCACCGTTGATAGATTTGAGTGAAGGGGCTCATGTAGGAATTCTGTTCCTGAAGGTGCAAGTTTTTTGGTATAATAGTTTAAATATTCTTATGGATGGGCTATGAGTTCATCTCTAGGGAGGAGGGAATTTCTAGCATAAAGAACATTTCATTGAGGAAGCTCAATATGTGCATTGATTGTTCTTAAATATTATATTGACTTGCTGTGAAATTTCTTGAGAACTATTTCAAGAAGGGGTGAAGATTTTTAGCTGCAGCTTTCTGTGTGTAGATTGAACATGTTGTAAACTGTGTTTCTGTGGCAGGATTAACTATGAGGAGAGCATGATGGTGCGTTTAAGTGTCAGTAAGCGCGAGAAAGGACGACGAAAACGAGCAAGTGTTATGAATTCACAACTTCATTCCCTCACACACTTTAGTGACATCAGTGCTTTGACAGGAGGAACACCTCATCTTGATGAGGTAAGGCTGCGATACAGTGGTGGGAAAGCAGCCTCCTTGATTTCAGCCAGGTGCATGTGGGGCTCATTACCCTGAGGAACACGGAAAGGGGTGCTGACACCTGGAAGCACCTGCCATTCCTTCACTTTTCCATCTGTCTCCAGGACCAGAATCCTATTAAGAAGCGTAAGAAGATACCTAAGAAAAGTCGAAAGAAGAAAGGTCAGTGAATGGCTAGGACTTGGATGGTTAAGTGCAGAGTAGGGAGTACGAATTGGGATGTCAGCTGTCTGAATTTGCCATCTTAGGTCTCAGACCAACCCCTGTAGTTACCTCTTCCAGACTGAGCATTGATTTTTTAGAAGTGGGCTTTCTCTTTTTTGCCAAGCTGAAAATCAGCATCATTCACAAAAAAAAAAAAGATTTCTGGGTTCTGTTTCTAAGGTCCCACAGTTGGTGTGCAGGCTTCCTTAAGTAGGACTATGAAAATGTCACTTGAAGGAACTGTTTTCCAAGTTTAGTCTCATTCCTACTTCTAGTCCTTTGTCCTGGGAGGATGTACAGAGTACTGTCTAGGGGGACCCAACCTTCTTGAGCCCTTTTCTCTAGGTTTCTTTTTTTCTGTCCCCTCAGCTTTTCCAACTGTCCTTTGCCTTATTCTTGGTTTCCCTTCCTTTCAGGTTTTCGGAGGCGGCGGTGATGATGGGTGTACATATTTGTATATCTGTTGTTATCCAGGGATACTTCTAATTTCACTGTATGTAGGTTTTGTTTTTTTTTTTTCCCTTGAAATTCATTAATTGTTTGTTCTGGATATGTGGAAAGATCTTTATGAATAAAATTGATTTTACTTACGAAATGAATCTGCTTTTGCATATGTATTGTATGACTGGAATCACTGGGTGTGGGGTTTTTCTGGTGAGATGGTAATAAAAGGATAAAGGGAAAGATGAAATTTTGCAGGAGGAGTGAGAGAAGGTTGGCTTTATAGTTTGTTTTGATAGTTTACTTTTCTCAGAAGCTATAAATTGGTTCCTTAGCAAAAAATATTGAGAGATTAGAGTAGTGTAATCAACTCTTCTGGCCCACGTGGCCATAAGTTCGTGTATGATTTATTGTAATAGAGTGCAAGTCATCTTAAGATATGTGGGTTTTGTTAATGTAACTTGCTGGCCACCAGATGGGGTCAGTGATTCAGGAAACCTTTGGTTCATGACTAGCAAAAGCTGTATTGTAGAACCTTTTCTCATTGTTAAGTTACTCATATCTCCACTTCTGAATGTTTTTCTTTTCTTCCTAAAATAAAATAAACATAGGGCTGATCTTTGGTCAGTTATAGGGAGAGAGTTTATCCAGAGAGAACAGAGTGAATGAGCAAACTAGAGTATGAAGAATCAGTATAGTCTTGTGTTTTGCAGCCTCTTTGACCTTCCTTTAACTAAGGTCTTAGTTCACCAGTCAGTTAAAGGCCAGTCCTTTTATAAATGCTTGCAAAGGAGTGCCAAAAAAATAGGCAGATTGAAAATTCCTAGCTTGAAGATCAAAAGAATGAAAATGTCACCAAAATATCTGCCCAAGTCAAGAGACTGGTAGGAGTTACATATCTGAGAATTTGTATTCTGTCCAGAGAACGACCTCTGTTGGTGGGAGAGCCTTTAGGCTTGGATAATACAGAAGGTGAAAAGGGGAACCGGAAAGGACAGAAGTTGAAGAATCTGCTGAATAAACTTACTACAGTTTTTTTAAGTGCTTAGGATTTCATGAAGACCTAATTTTGTGTCTGTATTCCTGGGCAGTGTCATGGAGAGAAGTAGAATTGGGTTATTGCATCACTAAATCCTTGGTTCTGAGTCCTGTAAATTTGGACTTCTACTAGTCTGCCTGATCAGGGCAGGGTGTGTGTTTAGTTGGCTGTAGCCTGATAGAAAGTAGGAGTCAACCTAGTATTGTCTCCTGTTAACTTGAGCAGATCACTTAACATTCCTGGCCTTTGATTTTCCTTAGCTGAAAAATGAAGGTGTTAGACTGAATCTCTATTTCTTCCAGAATGGGCTTATTTCTAGGGCCTTGAACTTTTAGTCCGTTGTAGTCTGAGTGAGCCTGACCTGCCTAGGGCCCTAATACTTCTGTTTCTTCAAGTGAATCTAAACAAAGAGCCACGGAACAGGTTTAGAGATTCTTTTCCCTTTCTGGCTGAACTAAGTGGACAGGAGGTTCAGTTCAAAAATACTTAGTTAGGACCACCTCATTTGCTTCTTAGGACTGACTCTTGCATTGGCTTCTCATTTATTAAGATTTTTGGGTTACAGGAACTGCCAAGGAAAAGGCAGTGGTGGTGGTTTTTTTCTCCCAGGATCTAACTTTGTGTTACATACTGAGCTAAGAGCTTTATACGTAATCCTTACAAATTATAGATCATCTCTATTTTACCAGTAAGGAAACTGAGACACTTAGGCAGTCTGCGCAAGGTTACATTGCTAATAAATGAAGAGAACCAGTACTTGAAGAACACAATTGTGTGGAGGCCCTCAAGTATCCTGGGGTTCATGAAAGTCTTCAGGTTGTTTGTTTTTCCTTTTTAAAAATACTGGTAGGTAGGTTATAGAGTTTAGCTCCCTCTTCCCTACTGCCCCACTCCTGTTCAAAGTCTTGTCTTCAAAGAAACCACAAGTTCCAGATACTGTTTTGCCCTCTTGGTGTTATACCAGTGATTTGAACAAACAAAAACCTGTACCTTTGTGGATCTTCTATTAATTCAATCCAGTCTTTATTCCCAGGATATCTTGTTATCCCTGGTTTCTAGATGATAGGCACTATTTGAAAAAGGTTTTCAACAAAATGTTGAATAATTTCTGAGAATATCTGCCCCAGAGTCATCAAATACTGTTTAGAGTATGCTGCTGACAAAGTTTTATTTGGATTCTCAAAATGGGAAAGAGGCATAAGTGAAGTTACTTTAGTTAAAGTGAGGATGAAGAAGCCTAGAGCTCTATGTTCTCATATCCTGCTTTTCCCAAGATTTCTGAATAGCTGCAAGCAACCTTTAAAACTCCATAGAATGGGGTACCTGGTTGAGTTAGTCATTAATCATCTGACACTTAGTGAGCTTGAGTCCCACTTTGGGTGTGCTCAAGCCCCACTTCAGAAAAGCTTGTGCCCTGCTTTGGATGAGCACGAGTCCCGCTTCCGGTGAACATGAGCCCCACTTCTCTCTCTCTCTGTCTCTCTCTCTCTCTGCCCCTCGCTCACTTGTGCCCTCTCTCTCAAAAAACAAAAAAACAAAAAAAAACACATAGGATATAGTTTGATAACCACTGTTAACAGTAGTAGAGCAAGGGAATGAAGCATTCAAATCTCAGGGTTTCTTTATGGCTGATGTTTGCTTCTCTTGTATCCTGTATTCCTGCTCAGAGATTCACTCCTCTGATTGTTGAGACCAAATGAATGTCCTATTTCGTCAATGCACTGCTAACAACAGATAATTTCCAGTGTTCACTAAGTGATATCTGTCACTAGTTCACATGAGCATCTTGTGATAGTAAAGAAAGTCTTGGCCTTGTTCTAGTCAAATAATTTAGTGTTTCTGCCTTAGTTCTTTCATCTGAGGAGGGGGGAAGAGGGTTTGACCAAGACCTGTTTTTCCTTATTAGCTTTGTTTTGTTATGATTTTATGAAGAATTGGGGAGATGTCTGACAGGAGTTCACAGCAGTCTTCATGGATGTATTTTTTTCATTAGAAAAATATTTTTTGGTTATAAGGAAGGGATGACCTGATTGTGTTCATTTTCAGTACCATGGAGAGTTCAAGCTTTCCTGTCTCATTCCTTTCCTTGGGTTGGCGGAAGGTACATAGCTAAACCAATCCATAGAGCTGCATCGTATAGATCTGCCACTTTGCAGAGCCCAGTTTATCTATCCAGTCTCCAGTTCTGATTGGTAGCAGATTGAGTGAGAGTCAACAACAGTCCTGAGTATCCCCATCCTCCCTGGGAGCTATTAGATGTGTAAAGCTCAGATCCTTGTTTAGACTTATCCAAATATGAAGGCATGTGAGTGAACTCCTGCCTTCTGCTTTGTTGGTAACATCATTCATATTGTGATGCGCAAGATTTTTAACAGCGCTTGAGAAGAACTCTGTCCCCTATTCTTTGCTTACAGACCCTTGAGGAGACTTAAACTTGCTGTTTCATTTCTTGGCCTCAGCTTCTCTTTCTGCCTCTGCATGGAGAAAGGCATCACTGCTCTGGCTCTCTGCCCAGTCTCGCTTTTGTATTTCTTTGATCTCATTGTTGAGAGGGTCTCAGAGAAGCCCCAAGAGTCGTGCCTTCGCATGTTTAAGCTATTGATGCTCTTGAAATAACAGAGCGTCGCTGTGTAAGAAGTATATTAAAGGTCTGTCCTGAACAAATTTGGGTCAATAGGTGGCAGTAGTCACCTAGTCCCGAGGCCCTGACACCCCCTGAACACAAGCACATTTGATGGCCATTATATTTAAGGTTGTGAGAAAGGAGGTCACATTGAAATAAAAATGGGGGGAAAACAGCCCTTTTTGGTGGGATCCAGGGAATGCTGAAACGTACTGGATTAGTTCTGTGGGGGTGTTGTACGGGGGAGATTGCCGTCAGCTTGAAGAGCCCTGGTAGGAAAGCAGGGCCTCAGGATTGGGGGAGGACTCCGTGGGTACTAAGGTTTCTGAGAGCTGGAGAAAGACCATGTTAAATGAGGACCAGTGCTGAAAAGAGAGTCTAGGGTTGGGGGGGGGGGGGGGGGGGGGGGGGGGCGAGTAGAGACAGAGAGAGTGGTGGAGGAGGGAGGAGCAGAGCTGTGTGAAGGGACCAGGGAAAGGGTGGGCTGTGATGGGGAGGATTGCGGTTAGAGGGGGAGGGGGAGGCTGCTGCAATACTGAGCCTATCTAATGGGGGAGGGGAGAAGAGGGGAGGGGGATATTGGTCTGTGCTGCAGCTGCATTGGCTCCCCTCCCCCACACTTCCCAAGGAGCTGGAGCAGTGCTGGCAAATCTGTCTTCATGTATTTATTATTATTAAAAATGTGACGGATCCTTCCTCCCTGGAAGTACAACAAATACCACTGATCACATTTCTCTCTCTCCTCCCTCTGAAGAGCTTTTGCATTCTCCCTTTCATTCTTTCCATCCTGTCCCCCTCCCAGGTCTGTTTGACTGGTGGGGGTGGACCCTTCCTTTTCCTTTTCTGAGCTTGGTGGCTCCCTGGGGGTTTCTAATGATGGTTGGGAGTTTCAAGGCAATGCTGGGAGGAAGCAGCTGAGTGAGGGGCATCCATGGCCCCAGGGAGGGAGCTGTACTCCAACATCCAGTGGGGAAAGGAAATCACTTGGAAATAGAGATAAAATCCTTTCTCCAGCTAATGAAAGAAGCAGGCACACTCGTCCTTTACAGTACCTGGCATTCCTTCCTTTTCATACCCTTTTCTCCTGCCTGAATTCTGAGGGGAAAACCCCCTTGGAATGGAAAAAGCCAGGAGTTACGTGGCCTCCCTCCCTTTCCTTGTTAAGACCTTCTTTTCCCAGGAGAGCCATATAGAATTTATTCTTCTAGCCTGCGTGTTGGTTACTGAGAGGTTTGAAGGGCAGAAGCCATAGCTTTCTCCCTTCCCATCCGCACCCCAGACTTCCATGCCCAGGTGGGGGCCTCTTTTGTTGCTGTCTGTAACCCTTCGTCATGCCCATAGGTGGTGCTGCTGTTGCTCTGCATGCTAGGCCCTCCTCCCCAACACCATTCCTCCCACC